ACCCAAAATGCAGCCATGTGACTATGGGGGGCAGCTGTCAAAACTTTGAAACGAAGTTGTATGTTGCTCTGGGGAGGTCCATTGTAACTTTGAATGGTCCCTAAGTGACCTGTCTTAAGTCAAGGAATGCCTGTATATATTTTCAGGGATATTAGTGGTATATAATATTCAAGCAGTGCAAACACTGTATTATGTTACTTATTAATAAAGTGAGAGGCCAGAGAGTTAGATTCTGAGCAAGTATAGCCTTTTGTCCCCGTCCACTGCCAAAGCCATTCCTCACAAACTCTATTGCTACATTCTGCAGAATTGCTCCAAGGTTTCTAAGATGAAAAGAAAGGCTATTCTCAGGACAGAACCTGTGTCTTGCATGTTGGAGGTTCTTGATTTAGTTCTTCCACATAAACCCAAGCAGGACTCATGTCTAAACAATAAACAGGAAAGATTCCTGCTCAGAAAACTCATAGTATCCACTGGTTGACAGTAAAGGGTTAGTGTATCCCTCTGTTGCCATGTGAATTTTGGGAGCCCAGATCTGGTGGTCCTAATTCTTATATGGATGTCATGTTTGAAAAATAGCAAGGAACGATACTGCACTGAGTTGCATCTCAGGTCTGCTTGATTTTTGGATGTATTCATTATTACCACTGTGGAGTACCCTTGAAAGCGTCTCCATAGACATATAATTAAACATTCCTGAGGTTTAAGATCAGGAAAATGTGTAATATGAAATGACCATCAATTTTATCCAGCAGGTGGTACTAGAAAGAATCACCATTCAGAAAAAAACTTGTAAGTAACAAAATGTCTGTTAAACTAAATAAAACTAAAGCATAAGAAGGTATTGAGTATTCTGTATAAAAATTAAAATAATTTAAACAATCTGAAAAATTTTCTCCTGCTTATGTAACATTTTATTGTGTCTATTTATTACCTTCATACTGTATGACTTCTTTTTAAAGCGTGAGCTAAAATTAATGTATTTTTGCTCATGTCTTTTCTAAGAAAAAGTTAAATCTTTTAGAAATTAATAATTACACTTTCTGGTGAAATAACATTAACTGTTTATTTGCAATTCATAGAATCACCAAGCTGTAGAGTTGGCAGGGACCACAAGGAGCATCTAACCCAACCCTCCTATGCATTGCGTACAGAAAAACCACCAAAAATGCAGAACTCATAACTTCCGTAAGTTGAATATAGAATAGACTGCAGAATACAGAATAACAGAGTTGGAAGGGACCTTAGAGATCTTCTAGTCCAACCCTCTGCTCAAGTTAGAGACCGCATACCATTCTGTTAGTAAGTACACTATTCTGTTGTGCAGATATTACCATTATTATATGAAATATAATATCTAAAAAACACAAGGATCACTTACCTAAAGAAAAGCTGCAGAAGCGGAGTAAAATAGTGTAAAGGTTCAGCTAGATCCATCATATCAAGCACAAACCTCTAGCAAAAGCTATATTCTCAGCTTTCAAAACTAGGATCCGTGAGAATGAGATGGCGACTTTAGTCTGACCACCTTCGGCCTGAATGGAAAGGTCCCTAGAATTCTCCTCATCTGATTTAACCTCAGCCAAACCCCTTACTTGTAGTCTTGCTCTGAGTAATGTAAGTAATGAAAGTGACAAGCATTTTATTCATTTGAGATAGTTCTTGGGTTTGAAAGCAGGCCTCAGATTTAATCCTTGGAATTGCAATCATCTCAGGAGGTGACCTTGGCACAGTGAGTAGGTTGAAACTCCAGTTTCGGGGATAAGAGTACTCATCTAACTCACAGAGGTATTGTGAGGATAGGATATGAGCTACATAAGTAAAATATATATATATGGAGACATATTTTGGACTGTGATACATGAGCAGGATGTTGGAAACCATCCTGAATTGTTTCCAAAGAACTATAGTATGAATTCAGTTGATCTGTAAATGAAAAATCCATGTTTTTCATATCTACTTTTATTGGAAACTAATATCTATGTAGATATTTAAGCCTGACTCTTTAAAAAGAAGAGTGTTCATAGTTTATATAGGCTTTTTGTTTTGTAAATGGGGTTGGAAATTTGGAATATATGAACGTTTGCTTGGAAAAGAGATGATTTTAGGTAAGTAATTTTCTTCCTGTCTCAGCACTACTCTTCCTTGTATATATAAAAGAGAAAGGTAGTAGCAATTACTCATTTACAGAGTTGTCATGTTCCTGAGAAAATGTGCACAAAGTACTTCCATCACTTGAAACAATATATAAATACCACATTGTACAAAATGTTTGCTTAGTTTGTTTTGATGCAGCTACCCTCCCTCAATGTAAATAAGAATATGCTTTTTGTAAGCATGTCTGCATGCTCATGCAAAGTAATTTGGTAGAAAGTAAATCTTTCTTGTTCCTGTCACTGTGAATTCACCTATGCCTCTAGAAAAATTCACCTGAATTAGAAAAGTACTGTCCAATTTAACAGAAAAGGTCTGTTGGGGATGCAGTATGGTTGAAATTATAGCATTCCATTTTTCAGATCATAAATATACTACTAGGAATATTTGTGTAAAGCTAAATTAGCCAGAGTCACTAGAACTGAAAATTCTATTTCATTCTAATGCATTAACACATATAACTATTAAACTAATGTAAATTACTTTTGCAAGAGATCAAGTCTTCATTCTTCTTCATAATCTAGTATGCAAGAGCTAATCCAATTGTAAATAAAGAAAAATTGCCTTAGTTGGGCCAGTTGAAATTCTGCATGTTTTCAGTTCAATTTTAGTGTTTTCCTTTTAAAAATATCCAGTGGCTCTAGTATGAGTTTCTTCACTGAACTACAAATCCGTTACTGTTCACCTTGATGACCTATGACTGTTATGCCAAGTCTGCTACGAACCATATTGTGAAGTATGCAGATGACACGGCAGTGGTGGGTCTTATCCGGGATGATAACGAAGATTCTTATAGGGAGGAGGTGAAGGCTTTGGTGGATTGGTGCAATAAAAATAACCTAGTTTTGAATGTTAATAAAACAAAGGAGATCATTGTTGATTTTAGAAAGAGCCAGCATAGTCATACTCCACCTGTGGAGGTGGTCAAGAGTATTAAGATACTAATAATAAGATACTAGCAGATAACTAACAAACTGACTTGGTCTCTTCATATGTAATCTTTAGTGAAGCATGCAAACCAGCATTTGACTTTCTTGTGTCAGATGAGGAGAGCACAACTTTCTCCTTCTGTCCTGGCTACTCTTTACAGAGGTATGATTGAGAGTGTTTTAACAAACTGCATCACTGTTTGGTTTGGTGGTAGCCGAGCTTCAGATAGAAGGTCCATACAGAGAGTGGTAAGGACAGCCAAGAAGATTATAGGAAGCTCGCTTCCCATTATTCAGGATACTGCTTACAAGTCCTATGTGCTTAGAGCTCAAAGCATTGTTAAAGACCCAAAAACACCCACTTCACGATCTGTTTCTGTTGCTCCCCTCTGGGAGGAGGCTTTGAAGTATTTCTAGCAAGACTACTGGATTCTGTAACAGTTTAGTTCCTTATGCCACCTGTCTTGTAAATTCACAGGATTCTTCTTTTTCACCATGCATATGTATACATCCGAACTAGACTCTGTTGTTTCTCTGTGTCATATATGTGTGTGTATGTGGGTATATGCCTAATAGTATTTTTTTGAGAGCTGAATGCAATGAAATTTCATTTTAATGTATGCTGATTAGTGTACATTTAAAGTGAAAATAAACTTTCTATTCTATTCTATTCTATTCTATTCTATTCTATTCTATTCTATTCTATCATTATGTCTGAAAACCTTTTGGAAAAATTAATTTGCATTTAAGATTGCAATTTTAATCATGGAATCTATGAATGCTTATTTTCAAGTAAACACATAGGAATGTACTTATAAAACTTATCTATCCATTTAAATGTGCTAGAATTTATTAAACAGATAAAAAGGTTCATATGAGAACCTAAGAAAATTCTGGTTACCCTTTCCATCATTTCCCAATCTACAGGTTTCCATATTAGGTTAGATTTCTTAGGTAGAGTGTCCTAAATTGGAGTCTGATAAAATCAAAGTGCCATTCAGTGGAGAATGACTCTGGACTCAGGGTCACTCAAGGAATCTATCCAGCTAGGCTCCCTCTGGCTCCTTTCCAAAGGCAGACCTTCTTGCTCTTCAAACATCGCAAGACATGCTAGACTGTGGTACATCAGATAATAACTACGCTATATAAAGATTTATTTCACCATGCAAAATCCCAAAGATAATACGTGCTAACCTTGAAAACAAAGAACGTACACAGAAATATTAGTTAACCACTTCAAAGCAAGATGCAAATTGTGAACAAAGGTAAAAGTTGTAGTCACTGAAACATTTCACTGTATATCCAATTAGTGATGAGCATCCAAGTTTCTCCCAATCTAAGTATGAAAACTATTGAATTGGGTTGCTATTTTTCTTATGGAAAAACATTAAATACGTCCAGAAATAATGAATTATAAGTTGCTCGTTATTGTATATAAAATGAGCTCAGGATGAATTTAATGAACAATAAATATTCATTAGATTTAATTTTATTGATTAAAAAAGCCTGTGAATTTTCTTGGTAACATGGGTTTTATTCCACAGTGTAGGCTCATGGATACTTAACTGAGAAAAGAGTAAACCAGAGGCCAAATTGAAATGGTATAAATAGCAGTATTTGTAAAAAATAATAATACTGTAATTGGCCACTAAGATCAATTTTCTGTACACTTAAGTAAGCTACTGAAATATGGCATTTTATTGTAGCTTACAAAACAAAACAAATCTGAATATTTTAGTGGTGTGTGTGTGTTCCTGCAAAAGAGAGGGAGGAAGGGTCTTTTCCCCACCAAATCAGCTCCTTAATGACCGCAAGCAATAAATAAGCATCTCCCGGATCTGAATTTGGGCTGCTGTAATTCCCTTTGCTCTTTGATGGTGGATGCTTTTCAGTGACCACCCAAGTTGATCTGTTTACCTTGATGCTGGAGAGATCAATTGCTGGTTGTTTAGGTGGTGCTGGTGCTGGTGCTGGGGCAGGGGCTGGTGCAGGAGCAGCTGCTGCGGGGGCAGCTGGTTTCTTAACGTCTTTCTTTGGTGCCATTTTCTTTCTTTTTCCTTTTTAAATTAAAAAAAAAGGTCCCACCCCAAAAGCCTGGAAGAGATTCCTGGGTGAGGAGCAGTGAGTGGTCAGGATGACTCCAGCCCAATGACTTGGAGGTAGACCCAGCGGGTTAAGCACCATAAGGGCATATATATATATATTTCACTTAGTGCCTAATACAATCTTACACTTGCAGCTGGATTGGACAGCTTGCTAGTCAAGGGGGATGTCATTCTGAGACAGGCTATAAATGGAAGATAAGGGGGTCAGAGCTTCATGAGATTCAAGAGAACTTCAGTGCCCTTTAAAAAAAAAAAACTCCTGTGCATTTTTGCAATAGATGGAAAGGAGGGGGAATATGACAAAAACAGTTCCAGTCTCTGGGACTTTGACTGACACGTTTTTAATACTGGAATGACAGTTTTGCTGCTGTTAATCTTATTTTTCATGTATCTGTGTCATTGTGAGTAGGATTGAGTTTCCAGATGGAATGTTGGCTTTAAGGGTTGGGAAATGATCACAGGTTTCTATCCTCCTTCCCCATCTCCCGCCCCTCATTTTCTTCACATCATGCCCCACCTCTCTCCTTTACTCCTCCTCTATTTCTTTCCTTTGCAGGAAGAAAGTGTTGATCCAGCAAAGAGCTAGAGGGAGTGTTTAAAAATAAAAGTAGACGTATAAGGAAAGTCTGTTTTGGTTTAGCCACAGTGTCTTTGCTTCACCAGCCCATGATTCTTCCATCTGTTCTTATTCTTCACATATTCATCGCACAGGCTTGACAGTAAAGCTTGATCTAAAAGCCAAAAGCTCTTCCTTTTTATCCAATGTTGGGTGTTATTGGCTGACATAACCAAATCCAATCTATAAAAGCAGCAATAGGCTATCTGTTATTCCAGAAAAGACTGGAGATATTTTTTCTTAGCTGTAAAGCAAACTAACGCTCGATCAAGAGCAGCCTTCCTTTTTATCTCTGATTTAACTGCCAGTCTTCCACCTCCTATTTATCTTTTCTCATTTCCAGTTTCACAGAGATATTTCCTCTTCTTTTCCTGAGTAGATGAGTCTTTAAGCTTTGATTAATCACCTCTATTTTATTCAGAAAAGGAGCCTGAATCCTATTTTCAGTGAATTAACTGCTAGATCCAGCATATTTCTGAAATCCATAGCCACCCATATGTTCATTTTATATCTTATGCTGAAAATCATATAGACAGATTTTATAAACCCAGCATTACATTTAAATGATACATGATAATAAAGGTATTAAAAATGTAAAGGTATATAAAATTATTTATATCTTTGTATATTACAGGTTGGAATATAGTCAACAAAGAATTCATTCCAGGCTCAGATTATCCTACATATTATGTGAAGACTTAGCTTTCTGGAGAAGGCTCTAATGCTGGAAAGGTGGAAGAAAAGAAAAGAAGCAAGATTCATGGACTCAGTTACGGTTGCAATAAATGAATCCTTGGAAATCCTGAAAGATCAGGTATGGGCAGTGCTTTTTTTGTAAAAAAAAAAAAAAAAAAAAAGGTGCCGGAACTCATACACGTCATACAACCCGCCTTGCCTACCCTACAAGGTTCCATCCAAACAAGGTGCCGGAACTCCATTCTGGGCGTTCTATGACAAAAAAAAGCCCTGGGTATGGGACGGAACATCATGAAGAAAGTCTGTCAGTGTGTTTGCTAAGAGCCAGCACCAACTTGATGAAACATATGAATCAATCAATCTATCAATCACAACACATCCAAATTGTAAATAATATTAAAACATCTTCCCTTCAAACAATTAACTTCTCCTCATTCAACACCACCCTCCCCACATAGTTGTTATGCGTTTGACCTTCTCAAGGGCCTGTGTAAAACATTTTAAGGAACAAGAAAAGTGAAATATCATGCAAATGACAAAATGGGAGTTGTCTGTACACACGGACTGAATAAAATCTTACTGCAATCTTTTCAGTCATCAGCTGACTCCTGACAGCTCATTCCAAAGGTCACATGAATAGAGACCTCCCATATGAATGGTAATGAAAGCGGTGGGTTGTCTGAGAGATCAATGAAGGGCAAAATCTGGAGTTCTAACCTGGATGACATAGCATGATGTATGAATTTAATGCTGGATTATTCCACAAATTATGATTAAATAAACAGTGGAAAAGAAGGATAAGTGAATCTAGCTATAACTATCTCTGTGTTTCCATTCCCAATGACTAATGTCCAGCTATCAATCTGTAGTGCTCAGTCAGAGCAATGTTTTTCTAACTTGCCAACTTTAAGATATGTGGACTTCAAGCCCCAGAATTCCCCAGCCAGCATCTTGTTGCCAAGTTTGAAAAACAATATCCTGGTAATCTGTGATTGACAACATTTTGGATGTAGACAGAGCCTGAATTTTTAAGCAGATGCAGATAACTTGCTAAGATGCTGAAGTATTTTATCTGCCTATAGCAATTCAAAATTCCTATTTATTTCTCTGGCAGACTTCAAATAACTGCACTACAAATTATGCACTGGATATTCTTTCAAAGCAAACATTGCATTGAGAAGGGATAATATTGCATTTAGTGACTGACTCTCTTCGTGATCCGATGTACGTCATTTTGCCAGAATTGTCTGTCAATAACTTCTTGAGTTTTTGCAAGCTCATACTTGTGTCATCAGTAGAAATAGCCACCTTGTCTTTCACTGGCCTCTTTTTAAAATACCTTCAATATCCCCAAATATCAGGGTCTTCTCCAGTGATTTTTGCCTTCACGTTATATAATCAGAATATTTATGCTTTATTGGTGCTTTTAGTGAACAGTTCAGTTTTACTTAATTTAGAATTGAAAGATCTTCTTGTGGCCAAAGTGACCTTGTAATCAGATCACCATTGTTTTCTCCAATTATATTGTCCTATAAGGAGTAGATACAGTATTGGGGGAAAGAGCCCTTCATTTTCTTCTTTCCCTGATAATCAGCTCTACAGCATTTAGAAAGGAGCATTATAATTTCTCATGGGCACCATTCCCTTTCCTCAAAATGTCTTCAGCCTGTCTGAAATTTGCCACAGTTGTTTTTCACATAAGAGTTATATATATAATACAGATTTCAATATCTGTTTTCCAATAGCAAAAACTAAAAAAAAAAAGTTTAAAGAAATATGCAAACCCCATGCAGTTTGTGTTTCATCCACACATTTTGAGGAAAAGCAATTTCCCCATATTGGGTTTTGCCAATTCCAAGCAATAGGAGTGCAGAGCTCCAGAAGCAGGGAATGATAGGCATTAACTAACCAGAGAACCTCCAGAGTGGATCTGATCATTTATAGAGCTCCAGTTGAAAGCAGATTGTGTTAGTTTTGAGAAGGAGAGTCAAAGAATCATAATAGGAGGTGTTCTTTACAAGTTAGGCATCCATAGGACTATTAAGAACCAATATGAACCAATAATTATGAATGGCTAAAATAATTGGCTGCAGATAAAGAATTGACTGAATGAAGAGTAAAAGAACCAAAATGGAACTTTCAACTATAGATTTAAACGTGTATGTTTAGAACAAGCTAGCTTGGTTAAGGCACAATGCTAGAAAGTGGGTGACCATGAGTTCTAGTCCCATCTACAGCATGAAGTCAGCTGGGTGACCTTGGGCCAGTCACTATCTGTCAACCCTAGGAAACCACTTCTGCAATCTTGCAGAGAAAACTGCAGGGGCAAGTCCTGGTAGTCTCCAGGAATTAACACTGCCTTTTTCTCACTCTCTCACACACAGTTTAGGCAAGAATTTAACAAACAAGAGAAAGTTATTTTTTTTTAAAAAAAACTAAACATTTGTGTATTCAGTATGGAACAGATTCCAAGCTCTGTTGAAACACATAGCGTAGAGTGTGTGGGTGAAGGACCTGTGCTCATTTTGCCAAGTGAAAGGACACCAACTGCTGTGCTGCTTATAGCCAAGGGCTGACTTTGCAGTTGTGCCTCATTGCCCTCTCCCTCAAGGTTTTCTAATTCTGTCTCTAAGGAGTAACAGTATCTCTAGGTGATCATCTGAGAGGAATGCAAATTATTCCTTCCAGACTTCTGAAGTAGCCTCTCAGCCTTTCTCAAGGGAGAAAGTTTTAGAGTTCTGGCAGTTGTTTTATATTGTAGAATGAAGAGTTCAGTCCAATGCCAAGATTCAGGAACAAAGGACTAAGTTTCTACTGAACAAAATTAACAACTTTAACGATGATATTGCTAGTGGACAGTATCTGACACATTTCCAATGATAGAGTTTAGAGATTTATTTTGGTAGTACAGTTCAAGTCCTTTTTCAGATACCAGCTTAAATACTTGCCTTTTATGAAAAGAATAATCCTATGTATCATTTCTAAAGAAACACAGACTTCTTGAGAGCCAAAAGGATTGGTTTGCTTACTTTTCAACAACTATTTCCCTTTTTTTCTCTCAAATCATTTTAGCACAATTTTTTTTATTAAGGTTTCTATTAAATAGACAAAATAAATACAAAAACCTAATGTGAAAATACAATAAAAAAAGAAAAAAGGAAAGAATATTTAGAAAGCGCAATTCCCCCCACAAAGAACCCTATTTCTTAATATAACCAAATGCCTCTTCATTCCATGTCTCACCCCATCTCTGAATCTTTTCTTATTAATCAGCAAAGATACAGCAAAATTAATAAAATTACCTAATAACATTATATTCTTCCTTTAATTTAGTCTGAATTACCTTCGTCCCTCTCTTACAATTAAACATTGCAATACAAGAATTAAAAACTATCAAACATTACCAGAAATAATAACCTCTTATGTAGAGACCAAAAATTAATCCACCACACTATTAGCCATTTGCCAAACCTTCCAACAGTACTGAAGTCCCATAAATAAAAATCTAACTCTTGTTTTCTTCAAATATTTTTACCACATCTCTCAAAATCGTTACCACTTGTAATTTCCATGAAGTGAGTCCAGGAAATCTCTTATATTTTGACTTAAAAGGGTAGTGTATAACC